CACAAAGGTGATGGATGAGGAGAATCAGACTTTATTCCACACACAACCCCCCACCCAAATCAGAGATGGAAAACACATCTCCAACTGGCCATGATTCTTCTTAAAATGATCACTTCCAAACTATTCAGTGCTACATATCTCTCTTGCTGGTTTGAATGTTTCCAGGATCTTTGGCAGCTCTCCACATTTGCAGTTCCTCTGCAGGTAGCCTAACTGCTGCCAACTCTGGGTAAATATAAATCATCTGCCTTTGATTTATGGGCAAGATTCAGCCCTCCTAGAACAGGCTTTGTGCAGGTGGAAGTGCAGGTGGAATGGGTGGGAGCACCAGAACCCATCCACGTGGCAGGGAAATGAGCTTAAAAGATTTTCAGTCAATGATCTTTCTCTCAAGCAAAACAGCTGGGCTGCCTTCCCAAAACCTGGCAGTGGTTTCATGGTTACATCTCCACAGCCAAAGGGAACATTTTTTACAAGGGAATTGAGTTCTACCTAAAATTACTGCAGGACTTCTAGACGTTATCATAGATTATTTACAGGGGCATGGAGTGACAAGATATGGGGGAAAGGCTTAAAATTGAAAGGAAGTAGGTTTAGATTGCATATTATGAAGAAATTCTTTCCTGTGAGGATGGTGATGTGTATTAAAACTCTGTATCCATGTGTGTGAGGACACAGCGGGTTCATCATAATACTCAAAGAATCATAGCATCATGGAATGGCTGGGGTTGGAAGGGACCTTAAAGCCCATCCAGTTCCACTCCCCAGCCATGGACAGGGACATCTTCCACTATCCCAGCTTGCTCAGAGCCTCATCCAGCCTGACCCTGGACACTGCCAGGGATGGGGCAACCACAGCTTCTCTGGGCAACCTGTGCCTCACCACCCTCAGAGGGATAGTGACTCCACCACCTTCCTGTGCTGCCCATTCCAATGTCCAATCACCCGTTCTGTGAAGAAATTCTTCCTGAAAACTGGCCAATTGCTGCATGTTTTCAATACAGGGAAGCACCTTAACATTCTAAGTTCCTGGAGACTTCCATTTATGCCTCTATCTTCTGGGGTCTCTGTAGCTCTCCTAACTTTGTTGTCCTGAATGCATCCTTTTTCCTCACTTAGATATGCTGGGGAAGATCAAGGAATCCCAGAAAAAAGCATGAGGCTGGAAGGGACCAGTGAGTCATCTTGTCCCACCTCCCTGCTCCAGCAGGGCCATCCCAGAGCACCAGGCACAGGATTGTGTCCAGATGGTTCTGGAATGTTCTCAATGGCCAAGACTCCACACCCTCTCTGTGTGCTGTGTTCAGTGCTCTGTCACTGCCCAGGACAGAAGTTCTGCCTCCTGCCCAGGTGGAACCTCCTGGCCTCAGTCCCTGCCCGTTCCTCTGGTGCCATTGCTGGGCCCTGGAGCAGAGCCTGGGCCCTGCTCGGAGCCCTCCTTGCACACAGGGACACCCAGGGCTGAGGGCCCCTCTCAGCTGGGGCTCCTCTCCGGGCTGGACAGCCCCAGCTCCCTCAGCCTTTCCCTGCCACAGATGCTCCAGGCCCTGAATCATCTCTGCAGCCTCCACTGGCCCCAGTCCAGGAGCTCCCTGTCCCTGCTGTGCTGAGGAGCCCAGGACTGGGCACAGCACTGCAGATGTGCCTCCCAGGGCTGAGTAAGATTTGCCCATTCTTACATTTTTGACTTACAGGCAACTCTGTTCCTTATGAAATCATGACAGAGACTCGGAGGCAGCTGTGAACCCCACTCACAAATTGCATTAACACGACTTTTACCCAGGGAGGGGCTAACTTATGCTCAAGAAAAAATACAACAAACATCTGGAGAAGAACTGTATGTTAAGCTTATAACTGAATTAAATAATGCAAGAAATACCTACTAACATTATAAGTCACTGATCTGTGAAAATGTATCAGAGTGAGGCTGTGTTGTTGATAATACTTGACAAGTTAAGATGATTAAGGCTTATTAAATTCCTAAATTTGTTTTTCTGTTCTTGATATTTTGCTCATTTGTCATCTGACCCTCTGACATGCAAACACTGCAAATACAAGTGATAGCCACATAGCTCCACTGCATTGCAATGATAACTTGATGTTATTATGCCCTCTAATGTTGAGTTCCTACATAGTTACAGACTTTTAACATTCTAAAAAATATCCACCTATCTACTAACCTTTATGCTGGGATGGGGTTCACAAGGTATTTCTGAAAGAACTGCCTGATTATAACCCTTTAGAATCTTCAGCTTAATGAATCCTGCAAGGATAATAAAATGAAAGAAAGACTTACACAGATTTACTGGAAGTAAAAAAATGTGTAACAAATCTCTCATCTGTTCAAGGAGGAAAACAGAAAGAGAATCTGTCATCTTTGGCTCTACAAGATGGTCTATCACCAAGCAGATAAATATCATCTGGGTTTCAATCAGTTCTATTTCTTGTGATTTCTTTGTACATTGGAGTATTGTAAATGTCTCCAAGGGCTGTCAGTATGAAAAAGAATTTGGTGAAGGAATTGAGATACCTGGGAATTAAACAGAGCTTTAATACACTAAGGACCATGTAGATTCTTTTACACTCGAAGCCAGTTAAGTCCTTCCATGCTCTTATTCAGCTGAGGTTGGAAAAAATTAACCTTTAAATTCTGAGTTACATTCAAAAACAATTTCAAAAAAACCAAACAATGGGGGAAAATACAAAAGGCAAGAAAAAGAAATTTCAGTTTTTTAATATCCCAAATGTACAAGAAAAACTCATGGTCCAAGTCTTCATTTAAATGTACACAAGTGTTATTAATATTGGGTCTGTGAAGACAGATTCAGCAGAGCAGAAACAGCCTCAACCCAAAAAAGTTCTTTTTTTCATCACAGCTTTTTGGCTTCTTCTCAAGAGAATAATGTCACACCTGAGTGGAGACAGAACAGAAATTCTTTGTAAGCAGCAGGACAGAGTGTTTTAAATGCAAAGAGCAGGGTTTACTTCAGAGGGTCACCAGAAGTGGTTACATCCTGTTTTCATCTTTGTGGTTTGCACTGATACGCTTCGAGTCTGTTGGGTTAACGAAAGTTGGACCAACAAAAGTGATTTGACATGAAAGGCAGAATAAATTTATCTGCTCAGAGCAAATGACACCAAATCCCTCTGCTAAAAATTAAAGAGCAGTTTATGGAATTCCTGATGCACTTGATCTCAGGAAATGGCATTTGGGCAATTTTGCTTCTATAAGGAAAATAATGGGAAAAGACTTGTTTCCCTAATTAAATCCCATGTCTCTGAATGAGGATTAAGATATATCTCTATTATTAAACCACTTTAAAGATACAGGTTTTCATATTAACAGACTATCTGAGAACAACCAATACAGACCTGGGAAATTAAAGTTTTGGATCTTTTGAATTACAGAAGGTAATAGTCACACACTTAAGAGGTTCTGAATCAAAACAAAATTCTGTTTTCTTCAGAAATAATGAAAGCTGGAACGGTGATCTTTGCCTTACGATAACCTGATTGATAACGCATCAGGAGCAGACAACCAATCTGCAAGGAATCACAGAAACCATTAACAGTGCTGGTGCTGTACTGGGGATCAATCCAGGCTGAGGATGAGCAGAGGGAGCAGCCCTGGCAGAAGGACCTGGGGGCTGTGGGTGAGAGCTGGCCCTGCCCCAACGCAGAGCCCCCTGTGCTGGGCTGCACCCAGAGCCCCAGGGCAGCNCTGGGCAGAGGGGCAGGATCACTCCTGACCTGCTGGCACTGCTCTTCCCAGTGCACCCCAGGATTCCATTGGCCTTCTTGTCCCCCAGGGCACTGCTGGCTCATGGACAGCCTGTTGGCCACCAGGACCCCCAGGTCCTTCTCAGCAGAGCTGCTGGCCAGCAGGTCACCCCCAGCCTGTGCTGGTGCATGGAGCTGTTTCTCCTCAGGTGCAGAATCCTGCGCTTGCCTTTGTTGAATTTTAGACACTTCTCTGCCCATCTCTGCAACCTGTCCAGGTCCCTCTCAAGGCCTGCACAGCACTCTGGGGTATCAGCCACTCCTCTCAGCTTTGTGTCATCTGTAAACTGCTGAGGGGGCATCAAACCCTTCTTCCAAATCATGGATGAGCAATTTAAACAATTCTGAGCCCCGTACTATCCCCCCTGCAGGGCTGCATCCAGTCCTGGGCCCAGCACTGCAAGGACAGGGAGCTGCTGGAGCCAGGCCAGAGCAGGGACACCAAGGGGAGCAGAGGATGGAGCAGCTCTGCTGGGAGGAAAGGCTGAGGGAATTGGGATTGTTCAGCCTGGAGAAGAGAAGGCTTTGGGGTGACCTCATTGTGCCCTTCCAGTGCCTGAAGGAAATCTACAGAGAAGATGGAGACTTGAAAGGGCCTGGAGTGACAGCAGAAGGGGGAATGGCTTCACACTGACACAGGGTAGGTTTAGATAGGAAAAAATTGTTCCCTGTGAGGGTGGTGAGGCCCTGGCACAGGTTGCCCAGAGAAGCTGTGACTGCCCCTGGACCCCTGGAAGTGTCCAAAGCCAGGCTAGGTGAGGCTCTGAGGAACGTGGTATAGTGGGAGGTGCCCCTGTCCATGGTGAGGTTTGGAACTGGATGACCTTTAAGGTCCCTTCCAACCCCAGCCATTCCATGATTCTATTATATCCCTTTGTTAATGCAATTCCCTGAGTCATGAGTAATACGTGGAGAAATGGATCTGCTGCCATCCACTGTGACCAATAGGCTTAGATAGGAAATTACTGACACTGTGGATTAGTAAAAGCTCAGTTTCATTAATCAGTAGCAATCACTTTACTGCTTTATAAAACCCCTACCTTAGCAAGGCATCATGATCCTCAATGAAACCCCAGGAGCTTCAAGGAAATTCCTCATTGTCTGAGCCTGACTAATGCTGCTGACTTCCAGTAAGAGCATACACAGACAAAAATATCTGCCAGACTGCAACCAACATTGAAAGTGACCTTCAAAATTAATACATTCAAGGAATACAGTTAGACATTATAAAATATTTTATTTTAATTTTTTTAAAAATACAAAATTCTAAAAATCATTTCCTTCATCATACTGCCATAGTGCTGTCTAGACTACATTAATGCCAAGACTTTAGGTATTAAAGAATTAAAATTATCACAAACCAACATCTCTGAATATAATACATCAAAAAGCTGGTGGCCAGATGTCACTCTGATTAAACAACATTAGTATTCAGTAGCACTTAAAAGATGCCTAGCAATTTGCAGAATAAAAACTCATCTCAACATGAGAGACATCTGTAATAAGAGTCCTCCAAAATGGATGATTCCAGGATGCTGCCACCCTTGCTTATCAGCAAAACCCTTTCCACAGTCTTTTCCTCTGTGTGGCACTTTGCCACTGACCATTAACTGCTGGTAGCACTGGGATGGAGAGGTTTGACTCTTGCCAGTCTGGAGAGCCCAAGCCTTAGGCAGTGAGTAGGTGACTTAACAGGAACACATTTCACCGAGGCATTACTGCTTCCTGAGGGAGCTGGAGATGATTTTGAAACAAAAAGAAGGTATTAGAGGTTTAAAGGAGGAAAAAAGTATCATATGACCGCTATCTTTTAATAGTTTTCCTAGCAGGACAAAAGAAGCATTCTGAAAAGGATGCAAAAAGGTCCAAAGCACAGGGACACATGGAAATCACTCACCAGGGATTCCTCCCTCTGGGAGCCAGTGCAGCAGGAATGGTGCACAGGTAAATTACCCAGCCACACACTGCAGCAACAATGGGAAACTGTTCCCAGTGTCCTGGGCATTTTCAGGCACTCCACAGAGAGACACTGAACACAACTCCAATGGGGAAACAAGGACTTGAGAGAAAGAAGCCAAACAGAAAGAACCATGTACAGAAAAGAAGAGCAAATATGAAGAAAAATCAAAGAATCAGGAGTCAGCAGCAGTATTCTCAAACACCTTGAGAACATAAAGCTTTTAAGCATTTTCTTTATTAGTGCAGCTAAAATACTCCAGCATTTATTTTTAATATTCTTTGTTTAGAACAGACAATAATTTAGCACATGCCAGAAATAAAGAAAGCTCTAAATAAGAGAGAAATGGACATGAAAGGATCTTTTGATTAAGGTCTGATCCCCACTTTGGAAAACATTTTGCAAATCCCATGCAGATAAAGTAGTTAAGCATAATGCTGCAAGTAAAACATAGATATAGCTTCTCTTCCTTTCTCTCTTTTTTGTTTTAAAGAAAATCTCTATAAAATTTATACATAGGGCAGGCATTTTCCTGGAATAGCTGAATAGCTTTTTTTTTTTTTTGGGAGAGATTGCTAAAAGCTTAAGTCAATTCATGTATATGTCTTATAGCTGCAGCCTCACCCATACCTGGTGGTGTCCATTTAGGCTTTCTGTCTGTGACAGGACTTGATGCATGTAGAGGCCTCCCAGCTGCTTCCAAGGGACTGGACATCACCTTCTGCCTTGGCTCCGAGTTGTTTTCCATTATCCAGGAAGGAGAAACTATAGGTGATGCTGGGATGGAAAAGAATGACTTTAGAAAGATGCTCTTTAGCAGAGAAATCATCACTTAAGATGACAGACCACTGCACAGCAGAAATAATGAGGATGGTACTAGCTGTCCCATCTTGAAGTTTGTAAATATTTACCCAGACACCTTGCCTGTTAGGGAATGACACAGACATGGATGCAGCTTGCTCTTCCAAAGATGACAGTCATAGCAAGGAAAGAAGGCAGGCTACTTGCTTTTTAAAATAAGCTTAAACAAAGCCAACAGTGAAAGCTCCAACACCTGATACAACCCAGAATCACTGTTTTGACAAAAACCCCAGAAAACAACTGCAAAAATGAACTGAGGATCTTTAAAGAGATGAAACTTTCCTGGAAATGACGGCAGAAGGAATTTCTCCTGACATACAAATGCAGAGAAGCAGTGACATTTTGCTGGTCTGGGAGTGAATAAGCTCCAGTGAGTAAATTTAGTGTGAAAGTGCAAATGAGATATCTTGAGTATGAGGGATGATGCTTCAGTAAGGGGGAGGGCAAGGGAAAATGCAGTCAAAGCAGCATGAATTTCACTAAAAATCCAAACTAAACATAATGCATCACATCCAAAGCACATGTAAGGAGAGGGTTTTGGTGGAGAAGAACTTACTGGGTACAGACTCTGGGTCAGAATCATCAGGATCATGGGCTCTGTCATCACTGTCAGCCACCAGTGACTTGTGAAGTGCTGGGACTTTGGTTGCTGCTGTCCTTTGCCTCCCATCACCCTCAGGTGCATCCTCATCCATAACCCGATTGAGACCTACAAACCAGAAAGTGATTCAATCAGCTTAAATTCACAGTAAATTTATTTTCTTCCTCTAAAATGATTTGGTATCTGAGTGCCCAAAATTAATTTTGGTGATATGAAGCTATACTGTTCAGAAACATATCACTGACACCTGTTTTCATGTACTTCTCATTTTATTTTCTCATTGTCAAAGTTATCAACATTTATCTGTAATCAGGCAAATAAAATGAAGACCAAAAATTCACCAATCCACAGGTTTGCTCATTTTAAGACTGGGGCCAAATTTTTAATGAAAGAATTGACACATCCTTCAACTTTTATTTAAGATAAAGACCCTTTTTTCCACATCAACAACAACAACAAAATAAACCAATGGAAACAAAGAAGACATAAGGTATTTAAATGTTTTTTGTGAAAAGAGTGTGAGAACAACTTACCTAAAAGTTCACTGTCTACACTGCAGTTGGAAAAAGGAGGTCTCCTCTGTGCATTTTCTGACTCAATATTCTTACCTGTTTTAAGATCCAGGGGAAAAAATTTAAAATACTGTACAAAAACACATTATAAAAAGTAAAAAGAGCAAGAAATTAAAATAGCTGAAGTTTTTATCTGTCTCTAATCCAAGTATATATTAGGAAAATCTTATAGAAGAGTTACTTCTCTCACAGAAAAAATACCCAAGAACATAAGAAAACAGACAATACCTAGAAACTCTTTTGTCATGACATCTTGAAATAAAATATAATTTTCAATATATTTCAGTGTAAAATAAATTCCCATGTTCAAATTCACTGCATATAAATAAAGAGTGTTGCATGGAACTACAAAGTAACCTTGCTCTTCTGAATTTTGCACTTCTTGGGGATCAGAAGATTTTTCTTTGACAGATAAGGCTAAGGCAACTTCCAAATCTCTTTTATAAAGTTTCTCATCCAAGGATAACCTAGGGAAAGAATGACAACATGTTAAATAATAAAACAATTACATGAGTGTTATAGAACTATTTCTTGCTCAGTGAACTCTTTAAATTCAGATATTTGTGAAGAGATTCATATTTCAATACATTTTTATAGCATATTTTGTTACAAATATCACGTTTTGAAATTATTTAGACAAAATACACACTAACTTTTAAAGCACTCTATACTTTAAAGCATTGTGATTGTAAAACAGTGTATGTGTGCATATATATACATATATATAAATATATGAACTATTAACTGGCATTACTACAGAAAAAAAAGTGATTGCCTTTGTTTGAAATGCCACATCAAAATGTAATATTTAAACATTACTAATAAAAATTAGATTTCTCTTCTTCATTGGCACAGACTTTGCATCTTCCTTTAAATATGTTCTTTAAGAAAAAATCAAATTTGTCTTTATATTTCTCTGGTTTAGGAGTCCCTAAGAAACTCAGAATTTTTAGAGTTATCTGAAGGTGCATTAATACAGCTCAAAATCTTTATTACAGTCATGTAATTACTTGTTTGTTGTCAGCTGCTTAAAACTCTAGGGGAAAAGAAACCAAACCCAAATATTCTTATTAAAATCCAGTTTTACATAGAGTTGACCACATTTCTTACCTCTTACTAAGTGTCTGTGTCTGTGATGGAATCACTTCTTTGGGCTTTTTTGATTTCTCTTTTTTCTCCTTCTTTGATTCCTTGAGCTGTGTTCTGGACTTTTTGCTTGAAGGTGCAAAGTCTTCATCTGTTGGAAAACAGCAACAAGCTCTCATGAGTTTTCCTATATTCTTAAATTTCATCATTTTCATTGCACACTGAAAATATATCAAGATAACTTTTTCTGGAAATTAATCCTATTTTAAAAGAACACAACAACTGCACTATCCTTAGAAGTATTTAAAATGAAAATTCAACAGACTCTCTCTTACATGTGCTTTTATGTAAGAGGCAATTTCAAATTCTTGATGTACAAGAACATCTCACTTACCATCATCTTCCAAATCCCCAAACTGAGAATAATCAACAACTTTCTTGTTCCTGTGGCCAAAAAAAAAAAAAATACACTATCAATCCTTTCTGACTGAGCAACTTGATTTGGTAACACTTTTGGGTAGAACTTGTTTGACAAGGAAAAAAAAAGCAATACATGTTCAGGTGGATAGAATCACAGACTCATGGACTATCCATGAGTTGGACAGGAATCACAAGGATCATCCAGTCCAGCTCCTGACCCTGCTCAGGACACCCCAGCCGTTCTACCCTGCACATCCCTGAGAGCATTGTCCCAACACCCTTGGAGCTCTGGCAGCCTTGGGGCCATGACCATTCCTGTTGCAGTGCTCCACCACTCTCTGGGGGAAGAACCTTTTCCTGATATCCACCCTGACCCTCCCCTGGCAAAGCTCCAGCTGTTCCCTGGGTCCTGTCCCTGGGCAGAGAGAGCAGAGATAAATCTACAACCAATGCAACTGTACACAATGGCTCATTAGCAATAGCTTGTAGATTTTTTTAAAAGACTCCACACACTCTCTGGACAATTTGTTCAGTGCTCTGTCACTGCCCAGGACAGAAGTTCTGCCTCCTGCCCAGGTGGAACCCCCTGGGCTCAGTCCCTGCCCGTTCCTCTGGTGCCATTGCTGGGCCCTGGAGCAGAGCCTGGGCCCTGCTCGGAGCCCTCCTTGCACACAGGGACACCCAGG